TCATCCAATGCCCTCAGCGGCCACGGAAGTTCCCCCCCTGGGCAGCTGCCTTCTCTGCTGCACAGCTGCGCTGTTCATTCAAAGACCTCTCCTCCTCGCCTTCAAACCTCGGGGAGCTTGCCTAGCCTCTTGGTTCCTTGCAAATCCCCAGGGGTGTACGTAGAGTGTTGGCTCAGAGGCTGCGCAGGACCCTGCCGGGAGGTCGGCCCAGGCTTCTTACCCAGACATCCGACCTCTTGATTCTGGTTCGCTACCTGACTCCCCAGAGGTCCGAACCCCTTCCTGGGGCCAACTTGTCATCCTGAGTCGCTCTTTGTGGCCCCAGAGCCCTGCCCAGGGCCCCCAGAGGCCGAAAGTTGCCCCAGGAACTGCCTGCCGTGCTGCTGCCACGACGTGCCGGAGCTGGGCGGCCGCGCCTTGAGCGCCGCCTCGGCTGCTGCGGGGGACCCTGCCGGCGGGCCGGGCCCCGGAGGAGACTGCCCCCGGGCCACGCCGAGCACCCCGCGAAGGTCCTCGGGCCGTCGCGCCCTCGGCGCCACCGCCGACCCGCCGGTCGCAGCTGCGCGGCGGGCCCCGCCCATCCCCAGTCGAACCCAGGGCCCAGCCCCCGCCTTCGAGGCTTGGGAGCGACCTTGTCCCACGGAGGCTCCGGCGTGCTCCGCGCGAGGGTGCGGGCCGAGGCGGGGTCTGCCAAGTGGGGTCCAAGGTTGCTTTTCTGAAGGGGCCTCCGTCCTCCTCGGTCAGTTCCGGGGGGCAGCGGTGGCTCGGCGTCGCTCGGACGTGTGTGCCGTTTTTTTCTCTCGGCGAGGATTATCGAGGAGCACCCTGGATCACCGAGCAAACCAAAAAAAATAAAGCACGAACACGAAGAAAAGGCACGGGGAATGGACGTCCGCGCGATGGCGAGATGGGGGGGGGCAGGCTCTCGGCGGGTTGGGGTGGAGCTCCGACCCCGTCGTCGCCCTTCGTCGCCGGCAGGGGCTCGAGAGCCCGCCCCGTCCAGGCGCGTGCGGGTGCGACATCGCGGGCCCATCGCCGATCCACCTCCTCCTCCTCCTCCTCCTCCTCCTCCCTCCTCCTCCCTCCTCCTCCTCCTCTCCTCCTCCTCCTCCTCCTCCTCCTCCTCCTCCTCCTCCTCCTCCTCCTCCTCCCCTGCGTAGGTCCCCCCCGTAACTATCCCCATGTCAGGGTCTCGGCATCGCTCGGACGTCCTTTCCCCGTGCATTTTTCGGTTTCGCGCGCTTGTGGTTCGCTAGATGATCCAGCATGCTCCTCGATGGGCCTCGCCGAGAAAAGAATGCACACGTCCGAGCAATGCCAAGCAGGCGAGCCTCTGCTGTTTCCATCCAGACCCAGGCGACGCCAAGAAGATAGCGCCGACCAGTTTGTAGTATCTGGATGGCTCCGAAGGCTGCTGTCGCCGAGCCCTGTTCCGCCGAGGCGCTGTTCCGCCGAGGCCCTGTTCCGCCGAGGCCCTGTTCCCTCCGAAGCCCCGTGCTGCCGAAGGCCGCTTCGGCAGCCGAAAGAAAAGCCCAGCTTCGCCTGGCCACGCGCCGCCGCCGAGGCTGCCTGGCGCCGCCGCGTCGGCCTGCAAGAGAATTGGCTCCCGGGGCTTGGCGGCGGAGCCGTGCTGGTCGGGGGCGGAAAAGAGGGGGGGTGATGACTAGGGAGGGTGGATATAATGGCGGGGGTCATGATATTTCCCCAGATCTCGTGGCGCCTCTTCTTGTTTCATTACGTTCCTGGCCCCCCCGCTGGGCCGCGCACATGCCGCCGGTCATGATTTGCACCCCCCCCTCTTGGACGCCCCCCTCTTGGCCGCTCCCGAGAGCAGGGCCAGGCGGAGGAGCTGGGAGCCCCCAAAGCAGGTGGTGAGGTATCAGGCGGCGACCTGGAGTCCCCAAAAAAGCCACCGCCGGGTTCTGGAACACGGGGCCACCGCCGGGCTTTGGTGACTCCTGGGCCTTATCTATAGATGTAAGGCCGGCGCCTTCTAAGAAGCAGCCTCCTTCTACGAAGCCCTCCCCCCTCCCTCCACCCCCTTGTGCGCGCCGCCAACCTCTGCGGAGCATGTAAGGCCGGGACGGGAAACGGCCCGGCGGAAGCGGGGCTGGGCTCAAGTCGGACGTGTCCCTCTACAGGAGGAACATTCAAACATGGTCAGAAAATAGTCGGGCGACGATGTTTGGACTGCTCTTGACAATGTTGGAGTATGTTCTGACTATCTTTTATATTTCGTTCCAGACCCGCCTGTAGGGGGACGTGCCCGACCTGAGGCTGGGCGGAGCTGGGCCAGGCGGAAGCGCGCCGGGGCGGGAGCGGAGGCCAGGCGGAGCATGCCCGCGGCGGAAGCGCAGGGGCGGCAGCGCAGGGGCGGCCCCGGAGGAGAGGGCGAAGGGCGCAGCGGCTGGCCGCCTCGAGAGAAGGCGGCGAGCCGTTGCAGCGATCAGCTTTTCTGTTCAGAGGATATTCTCGTCTATACATCTTTATAGGGCCGGGGGCCCTGGAAAGAGCGTGCCCCCCCTGACCCACCCACCCCCGAACGAATTACGGATTCCAGGGCCCGTCCTGGGCCTCTCTGGGGTCATCCTGGGGCCATTTTGACGCCTGAAGAGCCGATCGAAAGCGAAAACGCGAGAAGGCCAAAAACATTGATTTTCCGATTGGTTTTCACAGATTTTCGCCGCTGCGGGTGCTGTTGGGCTAGTCTCTGCTCTCTCTGAAGCTCGTCTTGGGGCTCATTTGGTGCCATCCTGGGGTGATCTTGAACACTCAAGAGCCAATCGGAAGCGAAAAGGTGAGAATGCCAAAAACGTTGATTTCCCAATGGGTTTTCAATGATTTGGGCCTCTCCGGGCCCTCTTGGGTCAGCCTTGGGCCTCTGTGGGGCCCGGCTTGGGCCTCTCTGGGGCCATCCTGAGGTCACCTTGACGCCTCAAGAGCACATCGGAAGCAAAAAAGCGAGGAGGCCAAAAACATGAATTGTTCAATGGATTGTCATTGATTTTAGCTTCTCCTGGCCCTCTTTGGCCAGTCTTGGCTCTTTATGTGGCTCGTCTTGGGCCTCACTTGGGCCAGCTTGGAACCATCTTGACGCCTCAAGAGCTGATTGGAAGCGAAACAACGAGAAAGTCAAAAACCCCGATTTTCGCATGGATGTTCGTTGATTCGATGCTCTTCGAGCCCTCTTGGGCCAGCCTTGGGCCTCTTTGGGGCTCGTCTTGGGCTTCTCTGGGGCCATCCTGAGGCCATCTTCAAGCCTCAAGAGCACACCGGAAGCGGAAAGGCGAGAAGGCCAAAGACATGAATTACCTTATGGGTTTTCATAGATCGTCTCTCCGGGCACTCTTGGGCGAGTCTTGGCTCTCTCTGTGGCTCGTCTTGGGGCTCATTTGGGCCATCTTGGAGCCATCCTGAAGCCTCAGGAGCCGATCGCAAGCGAAAAGGCAAGGAAGCAAGAAGCATTAATTTCTAAAGACTTTCGAAAGACTTTGGCCTCGCTGGGCCCTCTTGGGCCAGCCTTGGGCATATCTTGGGCCCGTCTTAGAGCTCTCTTGCGTCATCTAGGGTCCATCTTCAGGTATCACGGGCCCATCAGAGGCGAAAAGGCGAGCAGGCCACGGACATTCATCTACCTGAGGTTTTTTGAGGATTGTTGCCTCTCTGGGTCCTCTTGGGCCAGCCTTGGGCCTCTCTGGGGCCTGTTTTTGTACTCTTTGGGACCCTCCTGAGGCCTCCAGAGCCGATTGGAAGCGAAAGCGCGAGACACATTGTGGAAAAGCAGGGGGAAGGAGGAGGAGGAGGAGGAGGAGGAGGAGGAAGCGGAGGAGGAGGAGGAGGAGGAGAATGAGGAGGAGGAGGAGGAGGAGGAGAGGAGGAGGAGGAGGAGGAGGAGAGGGGGGAGGAGGAGGAGGAGGAGGAGGAGGGGCGAGGAGGGGGAGGACGACGAAGAAGGAGGAGAGAAGGACAAGGAGAATGGGGAAGATGAGGAGGAGGAGCAGGAGGAAGAAGAAGAGGAAAAGTAGGAGGTGGAGGAAGAGAGGAGGAGGTTGAGGAGGAGGAGGAGGAGAAGGAGGAGGAGGAGGAATTGGAGGAAGAGGGGGAGAGGAAAAAGAGGATGAGGATGAGGAGGAGAAAGAGGAGGTGGATGCCCTAATGCATGCTAGCCCAACCAATCGCCTGAGACAGATTCGCGCCTCTGGGCCCCGACTCGCCCTGAGCTGGCCTCAGCTGGTGTTGTCCGGTCGAGCCCGCTTAGGAATTCCTCACCCATCCCACCTTGACGGCGGTCCGCCCCATGTCCACGCACACGCACGCCGCCTGAATTGGTTGGGGAAGCGTAAGACTCGAGTAAGCCAGAACTCAGGTTTGCCCACTTTTTTCGACGAGTCCTGGATTTTGGCGGTCTCGTTTTCGTGGGATGTCTGCAGCGGGAGCCCGCGTCGAATTTCAGACTGGGCATCGTCATTTTTATGATGGCCCCCGTCGGGCCAACCCGAGTCCCCCGTACCCGAGTCTGACGTCTCCCCGACTCTTCTCGCCCTCTCTCGTAGGGCTGGCAGGACTGCTTCGCCCGATCCTTCTGTTCCTGCCTTTCCTCATGCTGCCGCAATTTCGGGCCTGGGGTCGACGACGCTGCTGTGATTGATGCCTACGCCCTCCGCGCTTAGCAGCACTGCTGCCTGCTGCCACCAGGAGCTGCGGGGGGGGTCCCCGAGGTCGGCTGCGGCGCACTTCGCGCGACGCGGCCCTCGGCGGGCCGGACCGCGGTGAGGGCGGCGGCGGCGGCGGCGACGGCGTCGTGGTCGGCGTCGTCGTCGTCGTCGTGGTCGGCGTCGGCGTCGTCGTCGTCGTCGTCGGCGTCGTCGTCGTCTTCGTCGTCGTCGTCTTCGTCGTCGTCTTCGTCGATCTCTACGGAGGGCGCAGGCCGTGGCTCAGTCTGCAGCGGAGGGGGGTCCAAGGCGCCGCCCGCTCGACACGCCCACGACTCCGGACGGAAGGCGGCCGCCGCCGCGCTCCGTGCACCCTCTCGCTCTCTCTCTCTCTCGCCCACTGGATCGCCTCGGCCCAGAGGGGGAAGGAAGAGGAGAGGGAGGAGACGGGAGAGAATGAGGAGAAGCAAGAGGAGGAGGAGGAGGAGGAGGAGGAGGAGGAGGAGGAGGAGGGAAGGACGAGGAGGAGGAGGAGGAGGAGGACGGACGAGGAGGAGGAGGAGGAGGAGGAGTAGGATGAGGAGGAGGAGGAGGAGGAGGAGGAGGGAGAGGAGGGATGAGGAGGAGGAGGAGGAGGAGGGGGAGGAGAGGAGGAGGAGGAGGAGGAGAGGAGATGAGGAGGTGGGCCCCGGGATCGGGCCCCCGCCCGTGGCCCTGCGCTCCGTCGTGCTCCGCGGCCCCCAGCCCGCGGGCTGCTGCCGGCCTCCGCCCCCTCGGCGCGGCGCTGCCCGCTCGTGGCCTCCTCCTCCTCCTCCTCCTCCTCCTCCTCCTCCTCCTCCTCCTCCTCCTCCTCCTCCTCCTCCTCTCCTCCTCCTCCTCTTCTCCTCCTCCTCCTCCTCCTCCTCCTCCTCCTCCTCCTCCTCCTCCTGCCCGTGCCCTCGCGCGGGGAAAGCTCCGATGCACGGGTGCCCGCCCTGCCCTCCCGCCCTCCTTTTTTTCCTGCGCGGCCCCTCCCCACGAGGTCCCCGAGCAGAAAAGTCCATGATTTGCTATTCTGTGTTTCGCGTTTTTTTTTCGTTCCTGACTTTTCGGGTTCCCAACGCTCCAAGACGGCCGAAGAGGCACCCGAGATCGTCCCAAGACGGCCCAAGAGCTCCCCCAAAACGGCCCCAAGACAGCCCAAGAGGACCCCAAGACGCTCCAAAAGGCCCACAGGACGGCCCCCGTCCCCTCCCCCGACCCCCACCCCTCCGCCCGCCCTCCCCCCCCCCTTGCCCGCCCTCCTGCGCGGCCTTTCCCCCCTCCCTTTGCCGCAGAGGGGAGCCCCCCTCGCGAGACCTCGGAGGTGGCGCCGCACTGGCGTCGGCCGACGCCCCCCCTCTCGGGATGGCGCGGCACTTGCTCAACGGGTGGCGCCTCGAGCGTGGGGGCCTCCCGCGGGCACGCAGCCCCTCTGGAGCCCCCTGGGTGCTTGGCGGCCCGCCTCCCACGATCCCTTGCCCGTGCTCCTCCCTCCTCCTCCTCCTCCTCCTCCTCCTCCTCCTCCTCCTCCTCCTCCTCCTCCTCCTCCTCCTCCTCCCCCTCCTCCCCCTCCTTTCTCCTCCTCCTCCTCCTCCTCCTCTCCTCCTCCTCCTCCTCCTCCTCCTCCTCCTCATCCTCCCTCCTCCTCCTCCTCCTCCTCCCTCCTCCTCCTCCTGCCCCTCCTCCTCCTCTCCTCCTCCTCCTGCCCCTCCTCCTCCTCCTCCTCCTCCTCCTCCTCCTCCTCCCCCCTCCTCCTCCTCCTTCTCCTCCTCCTCCTCTTCCTCCTCTTCTTCCTCCTCCTCCTCCTCCTCATCCTGCTCCTCATCCTCCTCCTCCTCCTCCTCCTCCTCCTCCTCCTCCTCTCCTCCTCCTCCTCCTCCTCCTCCTCCCCCTCCCTCCCCTCCCATTCCCTCCTCCTCCTCCTCCTCCTCTTCCTCCTCCTCCTCCTCCTCCTCCTCCTCCTCCTCCTCCCTCCCCTCCTCCTCCTCCTCCTCCTCCTCCTCCTCCTCCTCCTCCTCCTCCTCCTCCTCCTCCTCCTCCTCTCCTCCTCCTCCTCCTCCTCCTCCTCCTCCTCCCCTCCTCCTCCTCCTCCTCCCTCCCTCCTCCTCCTCCTCCTCCTCCTCCTCCTCCTCCTCCTCCTCCTCCTCCTCCTCCTCCCTCCTCCTCCTCCTCCTCCTCCTCCGCCTCCTCCTCCTCCTCCTCCTCCTCCTCCTCCTCCTCCTCCTCCTCCTCCTCCTCCTCCTCCTCCTCCTCCTCCTCCTCCTCCTCCTCCTCCTCCTCCTCCTCCTCCTCCTCCTCCTCCTCTCCTCACTCCTCCTTCCTCACTCCTCCTTCCTCCTCCTCCTTCCTCACTCATCCTTTCTCACTCCTCCTCCTCCTCCTCTGGAGCCCCCTGGGTGTCTGGCGGCGGCCCGTGCTCGGGGGCTCGGGCCACCCAGTGGCCAGGCTCGGCTACAGCCAACCCGCATGGCAAGGATGAGCAACCTTCCCAAAGCTACCCTTCAGTCGGGCGTGTCCCTCTACAGGAGGAATATTCAGTAGGTATGTTTGGACCCCCAGATCCCAACAACCTACTTTCAGCGCCTTCCTACTTCAAGGATCGAGTGGCTTCACCTTCACCTTTTCCCTCGTCCCAAGGGGGCGGGCGGACACCCAATCTGCTTTCAACGCCTTCCTACTTCATAGTTCTACCTACTTGTTCCGACCGATGGGTACCCTTGCATCCTTGCCGCTTCGGTCCATCCTTGGCCACTTTCGTTGGCAGCGCCCCGCTCGGAAGGTTTCGAGATGGGCGTCCAAGGCCTCCTGCATCCTTGCCGCGCCTGCTGATGATACGGGTTGACTGCACCAGGAGTCTGAATGCATGTGAGCTCACCGAGCGCATTCCACTACTCGCAGAGCGCCTGGTCGCAAACGTCTGAACAGCAGATGGTCGCCCCGACGTAACACATCGTAGGATCCCCCGCGGCGGATCCAGGCCATGGGCGAGCAGTTGCTTTGCGACTAGTGGAGCGTGCTTGTCTGTGAGCGACGATCAACAAACGGGTCCAGCGCGAGATGGCATGGCGACCTCACGCGGTGGCCTGCGCGGGCCGCCGGCGCGGTGCGCCGCATGGGAGACGAGGGCGTTCACGCGCGGCCTTGCGCGGGGCAGCGTGCGCGCCAGTGTCGGCGCAGGCGACCCCCTGTTGTCCTGCCTTGCCCATGTAAGGCTCATCGGGCGGGGTGTCATGGGGGCTGACTGACCTCAATGTCTGCACGAACGAAATGGGTACGGAAAGAATGGGCACAATGCAAAACAGCAGTTCCTGTTCATTTTGAACAGGACTCGCTGTCCGCGCCGCCACGGCCTGTGTCCATTTGAGACAGAAGGCCCCCTGCCCAACAGTGGCCGCTGTTGGTTTGGGACGACATTTGTTGTTGGGCATTGTACCCATTCTTTCCGTGCCCATTTCGGGCGTCCAAAGAATGGGGGGCGAAGAAAAAGGGTCCTTCAGGGCCCCTTGGGTGCCCTCATCTTCGACCCCGTTCAGGTCCACCCCGCCTGACCACCCGCCCGATCATAGGACCCTGGTCAGCCTGGCCCTTCGCGAGGGGGAGCGCCTGGCGAGACCGTCCTGGCCTGACATGCGGAAAGAAGAAAGGAGGAGGGAGGAGGAGTAGGGAGGAGGACAGGGAGGAGGAAGGAGGAGGAGGAGGAAGAAAAAGGAAGAGGGGGAGGACAAGCTAGGCGCGCTCGCGCCATATCTGAGATCCTACTCCTCCCACCCTTCCCTTCCGATTGCGCTGTTTATCTATATATATATATGTATACATATGTATCAGCCAACGCGTGTCATAGCGAACCTCGAAGTGTTATGTGGTACATACATGGATATACGCATGTTTTTATATATATGCATATATGTACAATCATGCATGCATATACCCATGCATGTTTTATATATGTATACATATATATATATGTGTAAATACAAACATACATTCATACATAAATACAAACATACATACATACATACATACATACATACATACATACATACCTACATACCTACCTACATACATACATACATACATGCATACACACATACATGCATATATATATATATATATACATGCATACATATATACATACATATATACATACATACATACATACAAACAAACAAACATACATACATACATACATACATGCATACATACATACATACATGCATGCATGCATGCATGCATGCATGCATGCATGCATGCATGCATGCATGCATGCATGCATATATACATACATACAGTATACCCACACCTACCTACATATATCTAGAGGGAGAGAGAGAGAGAGGAAAAAAAGAGAGAGAGAGAGAGAGAGAGAGACACACAGAGAGAATGGGGAGAGGATCCCATGGGCCAGGGGGAGCACTGATTTTGTACACGACCGTTCTGTACCCGTCGGGGAGCGCCAAAACGCGTCGAAGGAGGGGAAGAGGGGCGACGAGAGAGCCCAAAAGACGTCCAAGAGGACTCCGAGATGGCCCAAATGCGCTCCAAGAGAACCCAAGAGCGCCCAAGATGGCCCAACATCGCTTTAAAACAGCCCCAGAGGGCCCCAAGACGGCCAAGAGGTCCGCAAAAAGAGTCCCACGAGGCCCTCAGGAGTCGAACAGCCAAACGTTTCTCTGTTTTTTTGAAAGTTTTCCGTGTTTGGGCTTTTTCATGCTTCCGACGGGCCAAGACAGCCCGCGAGGCCCCAGAAATCGGCCCAAGACGGCCCAAGCGGCTCCCAAAGAGGGCCCCAGGACGGCCCAAGAGAGTTCCGAGATTGCCCAAAGGCGCCCCAAGACGGCCCCAAGAAGGCCCAGAAGGTCCCAAACGGCTTCAAGAAAAGAAAGGCTCCAAGAGCCCTTCAAGCGAGCCCCAACAAGGCCCCGAGACAGCCAAAGCCCTCCAAGACGCACCAAGTATGTCCGAGGACGACCCAAGAGGGCGTGAAGTGACCCAAAAAGGCGCCAAGAGGACACCCAAGAAGGCCCGGAAACGCTAAATGCATTCATGGTCGTCCAGTTCTTGTGTTTCATCACGTAACTAATTCCCAACACCACGGATCCTAAGTGTGGACGGTGGTGTGAAGACGACCCAAGGAGATCTCCGAGACGCCGAAAAGACGGCTTCAAAATCACGAGAACCCAGCTTCGTCACGTCTCTGGTCATCGGAGCCCTTGGCCCGATACCTGAGGTTTCACAGCGCCCCCGCTGTCACTCTGGATGCCTGTGCTTTTGCGGCCCACTTCACGAAGCCCACCACTATCGCGGGCACCCTTCCTGGTCTGAACACT